GTACTTACTTATTTAATTCTCACCACAACATGAGAAGGATCTATTGTTACCTGACTTTAGACATAAGGAAACTGAGATACAATGAAGACAGAGTTAGCAAGTGGCAAAGCTTAGATTTGAACATAGGCTGCGTGGCTCCCAAGTAAATCCATCTATCCAGCATGTGCTGCTGCCTCTCAAATGATAAAAAAAAATCTTACTTTTCATCAGGGCACAGCACAAAAAAACAAATTGAGGTTCCGTGTATTTTCTCTGTTAACTGGGCAGATTTTTAAAATACTGATAGTAATCTGTGTGGTTTTGAATTTTGGGGAATTATGTCCAATAATACTATGGAGAATACTCCCCCAACATCTCCCTTCCTGTACTGTAGGCATGTTCCTATTCTACAGTGAATGGCTCTTCTGTGGTTGGGGCAGAGAAGGTTCATGTTTTCCAGCCATTTTAACATTTTGTGTATTTGCAAATACAATACATGTTTATTATAGATAAAAATAGATTAAATAGAAAATAGAATAACAAGACCCCAAAGCCTACTACCTAACAATAAGCCCTTCTAATGTTTTTATTTGCATTATAAATACCTTATTCAGGTATTTATATAGATATGCATGCATTTATATATTTATATGTAAAAGATATCTCATTTTACATTTGATTTTACAACTGTATTGCCTCACTGTAGTGGGTTAAATTGTGTCCCCTCTGTTTGGAAATCTGTATGTTAAAGCATTTCCCTTTGCTTTTGACCCCAAATCTACCTCGCATTCATGGATGGATGTTGGTTAGGTTGGGGTGTTGGTTAGGTTGGGGTGTTCACGGTGTAGAGGGGTCCCTCCCTGAGATCAGTGTGTTCATCCTTCATTACCCCAATCTGTACAGGCTTTCCAGACTACCTCTCAGCTCTATTGGTCTTCAGGACACTGTGAACACAGCAGCCGAGACCCTGTGCCACTGCCCCCTCCTCTGTCAGTTCCTCCTGCTAGCCCTGCCCCACCTTATGCCTTCCAGCCCCCAGCTATCAAGGGGCAGTAGAGCTACCTGGTGTTCCATCATATGGCTGCCCCAGAGTATTTTTTTTTACAGTCTTCTTTTGTACTTTTAAGTTTTTTCAGGCAGAATTTGAATCGTTTGAATTAATTCCATACAAGTTCATATGCTGGGTTTTTAGAGAGGTATTGTATTTTTTGTTTTTTGCACACACTTCTTTGCAAAGAAGTTTGATAATGGAGGTGCATTAGTGCCACCTCGTAACAGAAGCCTGAACTGCAGCCTGAACTAGGGTAAGCTGGATGGTGAAAGGGAGGGACTGTGGCCCAAATTTATGAGATAGAACTTTCTGGAAGTCTGGGTATAAAAGGTGGCATACACAGGCAAAAAAAGATACTGAGGGCCTCTAAACAGGAAGTACAGATTTTTAATATGTTAAAGAGAAAGATGTATGTGAGAGGAACTAAAAGATCATTTTAATGATTATGCTTTAACACGTGGTCGAATACCTAGAAGCCTATATAAGCAAAAATGGGATCAGACCATTTATGATTTTTGTAACCCACTTTTACTGTTATTGTGATCACCTTTCTGTGTAAATATATTTTTGTGATAACATTTGAAATAACCTTACAACAAAATTTTAGTTTCATTTTTTTAATGGCCTGGGTATCATCTCATCATGTGGACGCCCTAAAATTTATTTAATTGGTATCCTAATTATAAAAATTTAGTTCCCTTACTATCTTTTGCTATTACAAACAGTAGTATATTTAATGCTCATATAGATGCAAATATCTTTGTGAGCATTTATTTGTAAGTTCCTGAACCTTTGAACTATAATATTCTTCAAAATACTATTACTAATTTATATTCTTTATATCACAGTATGAAAATAGATGTTTTTACGCACATTTAAAAAATGTGAATCATTAATCTCATGAGCAAAATCAATTTTTCATCATTATTTTCATTATAATTTGTTTTTGCTGCCTTCTAGAATTCCATCCAATGGATGTGATATTATCAGTTTTACAACTCTATGTTATTCAGAGTGTTCTGATAGTTCCTATTACTGACATTCTGTGGATGAAATCTTTTCAGAGTCTGTGCACTGCAAAAGATCACAGTTCTGGGCACAGTTCCTGTAGCTGTTTGTACTGGCGAGCAGAATGTATCCTCCTGGAGAATTCTGGTATTGTGATAACAAAACATGATTGTTGTATGAGAGAGTTTGTGTGTGCCAACAACGACGTTTCCCTCTTCCTTCTGCCTGTTTATGGCCTTATGTTCCATTTGGTCTCAAAATTCAGGCTCTGCAGTGAAGGAAGGGAATTATCAGGATGACAGGCCTTACTGGATCCTCATCAACATCTTCCACTATGTCCTGAAGATAAACTTTTTTTTTTTTTTGAGACGGAGTATCGCACTGTTGTCTGGGCTGGAGTACAGTGGCACAATCTCGGCTCACTGCAATCTCTGCCTCCCAGGTTCACGGGATTCTCCTGCCTCAGCCTCCCAAATAGCTGGAATTACAGGTGCACACCACTATACCTGACTAATTTTTTGTATTTTTACTAGAGATGGGGTTTCACTATGTTGACCAGGCTGGTCTCAAACTCCTGACCTTGTGATCCTTCCACCTTGGCCTCCCAAAGTACTAGGATTACAGGTGTGAGCCACTGCACCCAGCAAAGATAAACTTCTAAAAGAGAATTGTTGGTGCAAAGGTTGTGTACCTATGTAACCCTTTGCTAGGGATTGCCATACTGATACTCATAAAGGTAGTTCCATTTAGGGTCCCCAAGTAGAATCATGTGGCCACAGAGGAATGAAGAAACAAGTAATATTGACATCTAGTCACATAGGGCAGGCTCTGGACTTTGTCATGGATCAACTCTCAAGCCATTGCCATAATTGAAGGTGTGTAAGTGATCAGGAGTTATCAAATTGTGCACACAAAACGCAAGGTAGCATGAGGGGTAAGGGGACAGTCATTGCTTGAAGGAACACAGGAAAGGGTTAGCAGATTGGGATATAGCAACAGTTATATGCATTCGTGTTTATATGAAGCAAGTACATCAAAGCCTTTGTATGAAAATGTTTAGTAGTTACTGTGGTACAACAGAAGGCCAGATCAATATCATATTTTTAACAGCTTTCTTGCAGCTAAACTTACAGACAATACAATTTACACATTTAAAAGGTATAATTTGATGAATTTTATTAAATGTATACAGTTATTCAGCCATACCATAATCAAGTTTAAGACATTTCCATCACTCCAAAAAGTCCCATCATGCTTGAATGAAATTAATCCTTGCTCCCACCCTGCGCCTCAAACCACAGATATACTTGGTGTCTCTGTGGATTTCTTTACTCCAGAAATTTCAAGTAAATGTAATCATATAATATTTGGTCTTTTGCATATGTCTTCTTTCACTTCACATATGTTTTGAAGGTTTATCTATATTATGGCATATCCATACTATATTCCTTTTATTGGCAAAGAATAATCATAATATATCACATTTTAAACACATTCATCAATTAGTGAACATTTGGGTTGTTTCCAGTATTAGGCTATTGCAAATAAGGTTGGTATATACATTTGTATACAATTTTTTATGTAGACATATGTGTTGATTTTGGGTGTGTACCTAGGAATGGAATTGCTGGGTCATATAAGAAAAAAAATTCAAACTTGTATTTATATTGATATGGATTCATGTATACCTATGTTAAGGGCTTGGATATTTTATTGAACAAATGCATCACAATAGAAACTCCAACGTCTTGGTAACTGTGGTGCAGACTGGAATATGAGTGCCAGGGAGATTTGAACACTCAGATTCCTGGCAGCCTCAGAGCACAAAGCTTTGATGAAATTTCAGGTTTTATTACTGAGCAGGCATTAACAGCATAGTTCCCCCGATTTGCTTAACCTCTCTTAACTACCTATAACCTGACCTAAACTATGGATTTTACAATAGGTTACTTGGATGAAGGTTAAGGTTAAATGATATACAGCTAAGAGTATGATATGTTTACATTAGCTTTTAAAACATTAAGACCATCTCTCACAGAAGAAATACCTGTTGTCTGAGCTCCTGCCGTCTTAAAAGACAGTCAGTTCACATGGTTCCGTATGGGAACAGGTCTCCTGGCCCTAGGGGCAGGATTTCACTTTCATCATCATTATCGTCATCATCACCAAGAGGGGTTGTTGAGTGAGCATCTGTGAGGGAGTATAAAATGACTAGTTCCTAAGCCTTGGTGGCTCATCATCCACAGAAGTCCCTGAGTTTATGCAATGTTTCTTAACTTCCTTTCATTACTATGATCCAAAGGAGGCTTTTTAGACATTCAATTTTTTCCTCATTAGCTCCTTCCTGCCTGAAACATGAAATTCTAACAGTACAGATATAGTGTTAACTGTTTATGTGCTATGTGGTTCATCGTGGTGCCACAAACCACTGTAAGGTCTACCATCCCACTACCCTCCAGAATCAGTTTTCAGCCCCTTGGGGACAATACCTCCTCTGTTGAGAATTCATGGACATTGTGATGAGGGCAAAAGCTGTAACTTCATTCCTGTCTCTTACTTGATGTCTGACGCTGGAATCCTTTCTTAGCCCCTGTCAGCCTGTTCTTAGTCATCTGTAAAAGGAACTCAAAATGCCTTCCTCACAGAACTGTTCTGTGGGGTAAATGAGAAATCCTGTACAGATTAGATGACATCTAGTAGGACTTCAACAAATGTTTGTCCTAGCCCACCTTTTCTTTCCCTCTCAGAGAAATGATGACTGTCATCTAATCTAAACAGCATAATTGCCACAAAGACCACCAGGAAATGGAGCAGGAAGGAGTAGAACATTATGAATGAAGCATTGCAGCCATTTCTGTGTTGCAGGGTAACTTTGCTGAAGGACTAAGGGAAACTGAAGAAGCTCATTGAACTATTTTCTTTAATTCCTTGTCATTTTCTGCTCCCTTGTTTGATCTTCTAGATTGACATTGAAAAAGCAGTTTCCCATTGAATCTCAACTGAAGAGAGAGTGAAGATGAAAAGGAAGTAGGATTCACAGGCCCTTGACCCTCATACTAGACCCATTACCACCAACAGGACCTTGCACTGGGATTTCATCTGCACCATCAGCTTCTTCGAAGAGAGAGAGGTTGTTGAGTGAGTACCCATAATGGACAATCCTAGCAACATATAAAACCACAAGTGTTTAAGTCTTAGATGGTGATCGTCTATAAAGAGAGACCATGTGTTGTCCTTTGAGGAGAGTAAGAGTTACATCCTCCACCTCTGTGAAATTGATTTCTCCATCAGTGAATCTGAGTTGGTCATCTCTAAACTGGAAATAATGATGCCTTTCTCACGGACTTGTGAGAGAATTACACAAGGCATACAATTGTTTGCAAACTTTTAGCTAAGTTAGTGCTGTTATCCAGCTTTTCATTCTCTGAAGATAATATTTCTGAGATTTCTCTAATAAGATAACTTTGGGATTGTTTTGATATGACTAGCAATGTTGTTGTGACCATGATTGTATACCTTTTCTGGTGAAACATGTGTGATTCTCTTTACAGTCCATAATTAAGAGAGTAGCATCTGATGGAGGCCTCATTTTCTTTTCTCGTAGATGTTGCCAAATGTCTCTGCAAAGAGGTTTTACCAATTCGTTCTTCCCCATTAGTGTATGATGTTCTTTTCACCTAAATTTTCCATTTAAATGGGATGTGGTATAAACACACACTATCAGTCATCAGGGTTTATTTCTAAACTCAATAATTATTCTATGATATATTCTGAGGCATAAATGTAAAGTATGTCATTTATTTAAAAACGTGACAGAAAAAATGAAAAGGAATCTAACATTATAACGCCAGGATATCAGATCAGCAAATACTTAAAAAGTCTTGTGAAACTTATCATTTGTTCATATCTGTAAAAGCAGGTGGGATACATAGTAATAAAAAGATTGTACAGTTCAATTAGACAGTACAGTACAGCAATGTTAAATTTTTATACTTTTTGAGGAAACAGTTACACTTGTGTGAATTTAGCCTCCTGATACAGCAGGAAGAGCCCTGGCAGTCATCACTGATCTGTCCACATGGCCCAGGGGAGAGCTGCCCATTTTCCTAGCTGATTCAGAGCCTTTAAGTCCCCTCTTCCTGAGGCATCGTTTTACAGTGTAGATTTTGTTATTATTTAGGATAGTGAGGCCAGGGGATCAGGAGACAACTGCCATTAAAGAGATGGTTTATTACTCAAGGTTCCCAAGAGGAGGCACTCTCCATTCCAGGCAAGTCCATACAGAGTCCACCAATTTAGGCAGGAGGCAGAGGGTGTAGGAGGTAAACATGACAAAAGACTTTACTGTGGTTTTCTGTGATAAATGACAGACAAGGCAGGGTAAGTAGGCTTAGGACTGACTACTCAAAATAATTTCAGCAGCTTCTGGGGTACAGGGGCTGTCTTAAGTTGTCTGCAATTGTTACTGGAAAGAGGTCCTGAGCCAGACCCCAAGATAGGGTTCTTCGATCTCATTCAAGAAAGAATTTGAGACAAGTCCATAAAGTAAAGTGAAAGTAAGTTTATTAAGAAAGCAGAAAAATAAAAGAATGGCTACCCCATAGGCAGAGGAGCCCCAAGGGATGCTGGTTGCCCATTTTTATGGGTATTTCTTGATTATATGCTAAACAAGGGGGTGGATTGTTCATGAGTTTTCTAGGAAAGCTGTGGGCAGTTCCCAGAACTGAAAGTTTCTCCTCATTTTAGACCACATAGGGTAACTTCCTGATGTCTTCATGGCATTTGTAAACTGTCATGGTGCTGGTGAGAGTGTCTTTTAGCATGCTAATGCGATATAACTAGCATATAATGAGTAGTGAGGACAACCAGGGGTCACTTTCATAGCCATTTTGGTTTGTTAGATTTTAGCCAGCTTCTTTACTTGGACTGTTTTGTCAGCAAGGTCTTTATGACCTCCTATCTCATCCTGTGACTAAGAATGCCTTGACCTTCTGGGAATACAGCCCAGTATGTCTCAGCCTTATTTTACTCAGCCTCTATTCAGAATAGAGTTTCTCTGGTTCAAATGCATCTGACAGAATCAGGCTCTGGTATGATTAGGGAGGGTACTATTGGCCTGGAGTATAAGAGTCCAGTAGAGGAGATGTGAGTGTGTATGTGTAGGTACTCTGGATTAGTTTGCATATAAAAGGTGTATTCCTTAGGTGAGTTCTTTGTTAGGACTAAGAATTAGCTAACCCTGGAAGGAGCAGTCCCTTCCCAGTTAGCAAGGCCTCAGATGCCAGAGCATCACACATACAAGAAATAAGAAAAAAAAATACTTCTACTGTTATCTGTCCTTTGATCCAAACAGAAAAATCTGTATCATGCTGGATACCCACTTTTGGTGGACCATCCAGGAATCACTGCAAGCTTTGATATGGAGCAGTCCCCAGGTTCCTACTCCTATAGGGACCTGTAGATCTCTGACCTCATCCATGTCTGAGAGAAACCTCTCTTGCTCTTCCTTCTCTGTGTCCTCAGAGGTCCTCCCTTTCCTACAAGATAATAAGCAGCCCAATACTTTCCTAAAATTTTCATAAAAGGTGGAAGAAATACTGACTTCATGTCTGAAGCTTCTGCTTCTAGCTGTGCTGCAAACCATTCCTGAGGCAAGGGGAAGGGACACCAAACCTGGATCCTTGCTGGAAATGGCACCAGCACCTCAGGGTGCCCACATTGGCAGATTCTATTCCTGGCTCTGGCAGTAGGCGTCGTGAGCAATGTCTTTGCCATCCTTCTCTGGTAAGGAATATGTGCTTTGTAATCACATACATCTGTGAGGAGAGAATAGCAATACCTCACTTGCAGGGCTGTTGTGTGGATTTATTCCAACTAACGTGAAGAATGTAGCACTAGGCTTGGTTAAAAATTGGCTTCATAAATATTAGCTATCTTTCTTCTTTGGGGTCGAAAGTTCATACGGCTTCTAACCTGTCCCCTCACCCAAGCTTCCTTAACCACATTGCAGGTCCGAATCACTTTGGGATCCCTTTCTAAACCCTCACCTGAAACTTCTTTGTTGGTTAAATAGGACTTCTGTATTGAAGGCCATTCAAGTTATGAAGTTGTAATAACGTATATACCTCAAAAAATGTATACACCAATTTGGGACCAACAATGTATCCAAGTGTTCATTGCCCCTTTATTCCAGAAACACCACGTATTACCAGCTTTTGTCTTTTTTTTCCACAATCTGATCTGCTTGTTTTTGCCAGATGTTTCCCATTGGAAGAATCATATCAGATGGTCATTAAACTTACTGATGGACAGGGTCATCCATCCCTTAGACTTTCCAGATTTAAAAACAAAACAAAACAGTATGACAAGTTGAATTTGAACTTCAGATAAACAAAATTATATATCGTAAAACATTCAGATTTACCTAGATGTACTCTATTTTATCTTTCTACCCTTCCCATTGGAAGACTCTGTATTGAACCAAGGTGCTCTACACAGTAGCCCCAGCTGAGTTCCCAGCAGATGCCAGCATCAGTCATCATCCATGTGAGTAAGCTTTTATGGAAGTCCCAGGATGCATACATCTGTATTCAGATGATTGCAGTCCCTGATAACAGACACCACATTGATTGGGATGTTTTGTTAAGTAGAAATGAATATCCAAAACATATTTTTTTTTGAGATGGAGTCTCACTCTGTTGCCCAGGCTAGGGTACAGTGGTACTATCTATCTCAGCTCACTGCAACCTCTGCCTCTTAGATTCAAGTGATTCTCCTGCCCCAGCCTCGCAAGTGGCTAGGACTACAGGTGCACACCACCATGCTCGCTAATTTTTGTGTTTTTAGTAGAGACAGGGTTTCACCATGTTGGCCAAGCTGGTCTTGAACTTCTGACCTCAGGTGATCCGCCTGCCTCAGCTTCCCAAAGTGCTGGGATTACAGTCATGAGCCACTTCACCTGGCCCAAAACATATGGATTTGGTGAACTTTCCCTCTTTTTCTGTAATCTATTATATTGGAATTTATAGAGATTCCTTTTGCCTTAAAGCCTTGATAGGACTTTGTTATAAATTTTGCCATAATCTGCATGAGTTTATGGGTCAGTGTTGAATAATGAACATTTCCTCAATTCCTTCTTGAAGGAATTTCAAGGAAAAATTTCATGGTATATGATTTTCAACCCACTCTTAGAATTTAGAACCTAATTCCAATCCCCCTCCATAAAGGGAGCTTCCACTGCAATTGCTCATTTTAAGGAATTCAGAGGCTGTTACTACAAACTACTCCCAAGCCATATGGAAAATTATATCTTCAGCAGGTTGCTTGATGAATATGCTATTGAGACAAGGGATATCTATCTCTCGTGAACTGTTTCTCAAAGAAGGTGCCTGAAATACTTTCTCCTCCTACAGGGATAGCCCTTGGCAAGGTGTTTACTTTCCTTGGGCACATATAATCAGGGCTCCTTCAGGAGACAGTACATGGTTAACTGTTCATTGCAGTCCTTGCCCTTTGTGATTGTCCCAATGCAGCAGTGCTGGATGGACTAATCTGTCCAGTTCTGGGGTTCATTCATAGAAAGCCCATGTAGCAGCAAATCAAAGTTATATTCTCCAATATTACTTTTACGAGGAATAAAGCCAATGTATCGTACTTATTACTTTTCTGTGACTTTTTTAGTTGGTTTAGAGTTCAGACTAAGAGTATTAAGGTATTTTAGGGGCTTCTTAAACATGAAAGCATTGTGAAGCAAGACCACATAAATAGTTGAGGAGCGACTGAGGCACAGAAGGGGAGTAGAGTTGTAGGCCTATTGTAAGACCCATCCCTGAGGACAGAGCAATCATTCTGTTTGCCCTTGAAGGGCAGCTTACTATTTAGAGTTTTGAAGGGAGAGGACCTGGGTTGAATAACCTGTTTCTCCTTTTAAACTCATCAGTCAGTTAAGTCATTCCTGTAATAGAGGAGTAAATGTGTAGAAACACCACACATGTTTTTTTTCCATGGATGTCTTTCCACATGGAAAAAGTATCAAAAATGTAGGATAAAAATTTTCTAGGATAACCCAATGTATTACTGAATTGACTAGATGCCTGCCTACCAAATAATATTATTATAGGCCTGCTTACATGAAATAAATGTGAGATTCTTTAAATGACATTTTATGGTATTTTAGATCATTTAGATCATTTTAGTCATAAATATGAATATAGACAGTCTCTAGTTTTCCACCACAGATGACTAAGCACTTAGCATGATGTGTGATGTTTGCACATTCACTCTCAGAGGGCTAGCTCATCACTAAGAGCTCTGGGGTCCTCCTGGATCTCTGGATGCTGGTGATACTCCTCTACTGTTACTCTTAAACAAATTTTTGATTACTGGGACCTGCTTTCTTCCACCAAACCTGGCAGAGTTCCCCCAGTTGCCTGGATCCCAGCCTAGTTCCTCTAGCGAGTATGCTTTCTCAGATGGTGGTCTAAAGTGTGAATGTATTTTGCTTTCAGCTATAGGCAAAGGAACTATGCAAAGGCATGTGAGGTATACAGGACAAGTCAGTGTATCACAGTTGCCATAGAAACCTGAAGTCATTATAGGGCTTCTGCATCTTTTAATAGAGCAGAAGACCTAGAATAATATGGCTATAAGAGCAAGGTCCTGCCTTTAGGTGTTTGGGACTCAGCTGAGGGTGTGGGTGCCCCATGGTGGGGGCTGAACTGCCCTGGGGTTTGGGCAGTTGAAGGGATCCCAGAACCAAGTTGCCTCATTCTCACTTCCGGACTCAGTAGTCCAGCTCTCTCATGAATTAGAGAGATATAGGACTCTTCTCACCCCAGTGAGTGTTATGTATTGCTCCAGGGTGTCCTGGAGCTACTTTCCATGTAAAGGCCAGGCATGGGAGGATGACACTGATAATGACTGTCTTTGACCTCACCTTCCCCCTCTGTAAAATGGGGATAAGAATGCTCAGATACGGGATTGCTGCAACCAGGATTGTGATAACACAAATGCAAGCCCATAGCCCTGTGGTTATTGCAGAATCAGGAATGCCTGTGTGAATTGAGGTTATTTTTCATTCCTTTTCTTTTCTTTTTTTTTGAGATGAAGTCTTGCTCTGTAGCCCAGACTGGAGTGCAATGGCATGATCTCAGCTCACTGCAACCTCTGCCTCCTGGGTTCAAGCAATTCTCCTGACTCAGCCTCCTGAGTAGCTGGGATTACAGGCACATACCTCCATGCCCGGCTAATTTTTGTATTTTTAGTGGAGACGGGGTTTCATCATCTTGGTCAGACTGGTCTTGAACTCCTGACCTCGTGATCCACCTGCCTTGGCCTCCCAAATTGCTGGGATTACAGGCGTAAGCCACCACACTCGACTTCATTCCTTTTTAATGTTGTTGTTAGAAGATAGATTAGGAAAGGAAAAGAAAAAGGCGCAGTGAGAAATCCACTGATGACCATTCTAATTGTTATGATCACTACTCAATTGTATCAGTGTCATTGGTCACTCACCCAGTGCCTAGCATGGTGCCAGGCACATAGTTACTCTAATAAAGCACAGTGATTGTTGGGTTCTCTCTCTCCTTGTACAGCTCTTCATGTGGATGTCTGAGCTCATATCAGGTCTGAAGGAGGCAGATTCTGAGGATTTGAGTCATGATGGCTGCCAAAGCTTCTACTCCTGATTTAAAGGGCAACAATCCTAGGAGACCAGCAGCACTTACATCCCTGGTAGGATATGACACCTGCATATGGTGAGTTCATAGATCTGAACAAAAGCATGTTGTGGAATAGCTCCTGTGAGGTTCACAAAATAGCCTAAAAGTAAAGCAGCTACTTTGATCTCATCACTGGGGAAGAGGTTTAGTGGGTGGAATTTTCTTTCATCAGCAGCTGCATGCTTTGAAGTAACCCTTGACACCCATCTACGTGATGCCTGCTTTGAAAGCAATGAATTAGCCACACTGAAGAAAGAACTTGATCTTAATATGCACTTACAATAAATACATATTTTTCTGACTGTGTAAGTCATTCCCATGTATCTCCCAGATGGGGGTTAAACTAGGTAGTTGGTTAGCAGGTGTTCCTAGCAATTTGATTCATGTAGTAATATTCTCCTTGCAGTCTATCAGTTTTAGCCTCATTTTAATTTTTTAAAAAGACTTTCTCAGAAAAAAACAAAATTGAGGGAATTCCACAGGAATTTTAATATCAACTTGTTAATTTCTAAAAAAAAAAATGCTTGTATTTTGACTGGGATCCCATTGAAAGCATAGATCATTTTGGGGAGAACATACGTCATAACGAAACTGAGTCATCCAACTCAAGAAAAGAAAAAAAAAGGCCTAGAGACAATCTACAGGTCATCTCTAGAAAGATCAATCTATAAAAGAATAGTTATGGTACTTCCAATTTTATATTTGTGGTTAGAATTGAATCAGTCGAATTGTGTTTTTCTTCCTTCCTTACCTGATGAATTCTGAGTTCTTTGGTGGTAAGAGGGAGGGAGAGAGCATGTGTATATATCAGTGTATGTACATGCACATATATGTTTGTCTCACTGAAGTTGTAATGAGTGTCTATTGTTAGGAACACTTAAGGAGTGTTAATGTGGTCACATCAGTCCCTTTCAATTCCTTGCACATTTTATGAAGCAAATCAGAGTGATTATGCTTTGCGTTTTTTCCACCTTTCCTCAGCCAGCATGGTTACCATGGTGACTCAGTGACTACTGTTGAATTTTGTGCAGACTGAGCATCCATGTATGATTCTTCTCTAAATCACTCACACCCAGTTGTCTGTCCACCAGACATAGTATGAGCCTTTGATCTTATGTGCAGTTGTTTACTTTTAAAGGGCTCAGAAGAAACTTGCTTTGCTTCTCTGAGGTTAAACTACATAACATAAGAGGACAGTAAGTAACTTAAAAGAAAAAGAAATGGGTTGTTGATATTATTCTCCTTCCTCAAGCTTTATCAGGAGGTTAGAAGAAATATTACCGGAATCATACGGCATGGACTCTCTTGTGTCTGGCTCCCTTCAATCAACATATGTGTGTGAGATTAACATTTGTTGTTGTTTGTAGTTGTAGATTATTCATTCTCATTGCTGTAAAGTATTATATTGTTTGGATATTTCAGAATATAGTTGTCTGTTATAGGAACTTGGGTATTTTCTAGTTTTTAACTTATGATGAGTAATGATGGTATGAACATTTTTGTTTGTGTCTAATGGATGGGCATATATTTTTATCTCTCTTGGGCATATACCAAAGAATAGCACTTCTGAGTCATAGGGTATGTCTGTGTGTGGCTCCATAGATACCACCAAGCAGTTTGTTAAAGTGTTTTTATTTTTCAATCTGTATTCCCACCAGCAGTGTATGAGTGCTTCACTTAATCCATGTCCTCACCAACACGTGATATTTTCCATCTTTTCCATTTTTGTTGTTCTGGTGAGCATGTGGTAGTATCTTTTCCTGGTTTTAATTGTAATTTCTCCAAACTGTTAAGTCTCTTTTAATTCAAAGAAGGTCCATCCTTTTTTTCAACATTCTACCTTAGTCAGAGTTCTCCAATGAAAAAGAACCACTCATATATATTTGTGTGTATATATACACACAAATATATATGCACATACACACACTCGTATATATGTATGTATATGTGTATGTGTATACACACACACACACACACAGACATTGCAGAAATATTGCAGGTTCAGTTGCAAACCTCTGCAGTAATGCAAATATCATATTAAGCAAGTCACATGAATTTTATGGTTTCCCACTGCATATAAAAGTTATGTTTACACTACTGTAGTCTGTTAAATATGCAATAGCATTATGTCTATAAAAATGGTGTACTTACCTTAATTTAAAAATACTTTATTGCTTCATCTGAGCCTTCAGTGAATCATTATCTTTTTGTTGGTGGAGGGCCTTGATGCTGTTGATGGCTAACATATCAGGGTGGTGGTTACTGAAAGTTAGCATGGTTCTAATAATTTCTTAAGATAAGACAAAAATGAAGTTTGTTGCATCCATTGACTCTTCTCACAAGATTTCTCCATAAGCATGTGATACTATTTGATAGCATTTTACCCAAAGTTGAAGTTATTTCAAAATTACAGTCAATCTTCTCAAACCCTGCCACTACTTTATCAAGTTTATATAATATTCTAAACGTTTTGTTGTCATTTCAATGATAGTCACTGCATCTTCACTAGGAATAGATTCCATCTCAAGCAACCACTTTATTTGCTCATCCAGAAGAAAAAAACTCCTTATCTGTTCAAGTTTGATCATGAGATTGCAGCAATTCCGTCACATCTTCAGGCTCCACTTTAATTCTGGTTCTCTTGCTATTTCCACTACATCTGTAGTTACTCTTCCATTGAGGTCTTAAACCCCTCAAAGTCATCCATGAGGGTTGGAATCAACTTCTTCCAAATTCTTTTTAATGTTGATATTTTGACCTTTTCCTATGAATCACGATGTTCGCAATGGCATGTAAAATGATGAATTCTTTCTAGAAGATTTTCCATTTACTTTGCCTGGGTCTGCCAGAGGAGTCGTTAGGCAGTAGGCCTCAATAGTGGGCTTAAAGTATTCGATAAACTATGCTGAAAACAGAGGTGCTGTCGTTTAAGCTTGTTGTTTTATTTCTAGAGTACAGGCAGAGTATATTTAGCATAATTCTTAAGGGCCCTAGGATATTCAGAATGGTAATTGAACATTGGCTTCAATTTTAAGTCACTAGCTTCATTAGCCCCTAAAAAAAAAAAATGAGTCAGTCTGATCTTTGAAGTTTTGAAGCCAGGCATTGTCTTCTGCTTTCTAGCTATGGAAGTTCTACATGACATCTTTTTCACTATAAAACTATTTTCTCTACATTGAAAATAGTTTGTTTAGTATAGCAATCCTCATCAATTATTTTACCTATGTCTCTGGATAATTTGCTGCAGCTTCTACATGAGCACATGCTACTTCACTTTGCACTTCCATGTTGTGGAGATGGATTCTTTGCTTAAACCTCATGAACCAACCTTTGCCAGCTCCAATTTTTCTTCTGGCTACACTTTTCTTCTGCTGCTTTCTCATGTTTCTTAGCCTTTATAGCACTGAATCGAGTTAGAGCCTTGCTCTGGATTAAGCTTTGGCTTAAGGGAATATTGTGGCTGATTTGATCTTCTATCCAGGTCACTAAAACTTTCTCCATATCAGCAATGAGACTGTTTTGCATTCTTTTCATTCGTGTGTTCGCTGGATTAGCACTTATAATCTCCTTGAAAAATGTTTACTTTGCATTCACAACTTGGCTGTTTGGTGCAAGAGGCCTAGCTTTTGGCCTATCTTGACTTTTGACATGCCTCACTCACTAAGGGTAAATATTTCTAGCTTTTGTTTTAAAGTGAGAGACATGGGATACTTCCTTTCACTTGAACATTCAAAGCCATTATAGGGTTAATATAATAGCCCAGTTTCAATATTGTTGTGTCTCAGGAAGTAGGGAGGCCTGAGGATAGAGAGAGAAACTGCCAGTCAGTGAAGCAGTCAGAGCACATACATTTACCAATTAAGTTAGTCATCTTAGATGGGTGTAGTTTGTGGTGCCCAAAACAATTACAACAGTAACATCAAAGACCACTGTTCACAGATCATCACAACAGCTATTGCAATAATAATGAAAAAGTTTGAATTATTGTGAGAATTACCAAAATATGATAGAAACATAACATGAGCACATGCAATTAGAAAAATAGTGCCAATAGACCTGCTTGATACAGGGTTGCATCAAAATTTCTGTTCATAAAAAATGCAGTATCTGTGAAGTCCAATAAAGCAAAGTACAATAAAATGAGATATGCCTGTATGTGTGTGCGCATGCACACACACACACACACACACACACACACACACACACACACACACACAGGGTCCTTGACCTATTATGGAGTTATATCCCATTAAACCTATCCTAAATTGAAAATATCGTAAGTCAAAAATGCACTTAATATACCTAACCTACTGAACATCATAGCTTAACCTAACTTGCCTTAAACATGCTCAGAACCTTTACATAATAGCCTACACCTGGGAAAAATCATTCAATACAAAGTCTGTTTTATAATAAAGTATTGAATATCTTGTGTAATTTATTGAATACTGTACTAAAGTGATAAACAGTTGTATGGATACTCAAAGTATAGTTTCTGCAGAATGCATATCACTTTTGCACTGCCATAAAGTTGAAAAATTATAAGTTGAACCACAGTAATAAAGATTTATTATAAGTAATTGGCTGATGTAATTATGAAGGCTTTATTATAAGCAATTGGCTCATGTAATTATGCAGATTTCTCAAAAATGTCACCAAAAATGAAATTTTTGGTGAGATTTTTTGAAATTTCTCAGCATCTGCAGTAAGCAAACTTGATTTCCAGGAGAGCCTATGGTGTAGTTCATATTCAAAACTGAAAGTCTAAGAATCAGGAGAGTTAATGATGTAAATTCCAGGCCAAAAGGCTGCTGGCTGGAGACACAAGAAAAGGTGATTTGAATTCATGTCCAAAGGCAGGAAAAGACTAACGTTTCAGCTCAGGAAATGAGGTAGAGAAATTCCTCCTGGTTAGTCTTTTGTTCTGTTCTGATCTTCAATTGATTGGATGAGGCCTATGTACATTAAAGAAGGCAATCTTCTTTACTCAGTTCACCCATTTAAATGTTAATCTCACCCAGAGACACCATCAAAGA